CAGTGGTTAGGCTATTTACACGCCATACCACCTAAGCTGTGTCTAAAATTTCATCCAATTCGATTCGATTCCGTTCATCAGTTTGACCAGATGCGTAATTATACCGTTATGTTCACCATAATTATACTCATAAAAATACGGTGTTCATTGATAAAATGTGAGGTTCTCCATTAGTAAACGTATCCTGATTCAATTCCTGTTAGGCTAAGCCGAATATTATGTGATCGATATTATCAGGCGGAGAATCGTTTTGTCAACGTAGGCACCTCATTGGTAATACGGTCTCGTATGTTTCACTTAGCTCCGGGACATGTCGATAATCGTCACACCTATTTATACCAATTCAGTTGATGCAGAGTAAAATAAATAGGTACTTACATAGTAATTTATTTCATTACCAATGAGCAGATCCGTCCTCATTTCGCCTCGTTAGAGACTATCGATTTTACAAATATTATTATTATAACTATAATTATAAACTTTACGTGAAAAGATATTTATCTTATAGTGGAAACTGCATGGAAATCCCCTTGCATTATTATTTGGGATTATTGTAAACATACATACATAAAGGTGCGGTGGGAAATTTATTTACTTATATTTTGTAATGAGGAATAGGGTTTTTGAAAAAGAAATGTTTAATTGAAAGTATATATAACATATTACGTTTTTTAATAACATTTTTTATTTTATATTATTTTGATTACAATGAGGAAAGACAATGGTATTTATGGCCAGACTAAGTATATTTAAAAAATTCTGAATTAGCCATTAGAAGTCCTTGATCACACATGACTAAATAAAAGTAGCTATTAGATATATATTTTTGCATTTATAGATAATATTAAGTCAATTTACACTGTACTATCGAGAAAATTCTTTAATAATGAGATGTCATAAACATGACGACTAAATCAATATCACGTGATTGTTTTTAACATTTTTATTTTAATTGCTTTGATTTAATATAAATATATCTTTGTGACCTTTTCTCTCCAACTATTGATATAATTTATGATAAAGTTTAAAAAATTAAATAAAAAATATACCTATCATATTTTTTTAACAACCCGTTTGCCATCAATGAACTGCTAGTCAACCTCGTGAGACGGTTCCGCATCACCGTGTAAGCTTAATAAAAGTTGCAGTTAGCCACTGTGATATGCAAAAATCAAATCATTCGATATGACACTATTTAATTTAGCTAACCACCTGCACCATCGAGCTTCTATTCATTTGGGTTATAAAAGTATAATCATCATCAGCCTATTAATGTCCCCACTGCTGGGGCACAGGTCTTCGCTATGGATGGAATAGGTAGATTGGGCCATGACCCACACGGGCCCAGTGCGGATTGGTGGTGCTAACTACTGCAGATGTAGCCGGGACCAACGGCTTAACGTGCCTTCCGAAGCACGGAGGTGCTCGAGATAGTAAATTTTTGGTCACTCATCCAATGACCGAACACTGCGAAAGTCGAGATCCTCCTATATAAGCCTAAATAAAATTATATTTAAGCTTAATTTTATTTTTGCTAATTGTTGTTATGGCACAGCAATACACAACATTACTTAAGTTAAGATTTCAACAACAAAATAGACTTAACAGAAGGTAATCTACATACAAAGTGCGCTCGCGCAAGGCACACATAGGCACCGCTCACGGACACGTTATCTCGAACCACTTCAGACCACTGCGAGCGCGAGTGTCTTCCGCTTGAGACACGCGTCTTTAAACTTTTTTGTGCAAAAATGGAGGAACAAAAAACAAGTTGAAATATCTGTCCAGTAAACAGTTGTTTGAACTCAACATTAAGCGGTTTTATTTATACCATCACACACCAATTAGCCTAGTCCCAAAGTAAGCACTGTAAGGCTTGTGTTATATTGCTAGGGTAACGGATAGAATACATATACTGTACATATATAAGTATATTTATATAGAAATACATATTAAACATCCATGACTGGAGTACAAATGCTCGTATTCATCACACAAACATCTGCTCCCACCGGGATTCGAAGCCGGGACCTCTCGAGTAGGCGACACCATAAAACCCGGCGTATAAAGCACTCGGCCACGGAGGTCGTCAAAATTATATATTTTTTAATTTTATAATATAACAATCATATATAAAAAAAGTTTTTTTTAAATTTTTATTGGGTTGTATTCATTCTTTCTGTTTCATTCTTGAAAGTAAATCAAATAACTAAATACGAGTGCCAGTGCCGCGACAGTTTTTTTGTGCATAAGTCAATGTTGACAATCCTAGCGCGACCGCCGAGCGTAGCTATGCAAAGTGTAGTACATACATGAGATTACCTTTTTTTTTGTTTATTTTGTGTTTCAACTGTGCGCCTGTCACGGTTGATGAGATAATAGTGCGCTGTCAGCCGTACGGATATGCAGATGATGCTAAGTACTTAAAAGTCAGCTATTGGGTATGAAAGAATAAAGATTCTGTTTTGCGTTAGGTGCAGCGCACACCATGAGAGACGCGGCGAAGATACTGAGAAGTTAACCATTTAGGATAAACCGTAATCCTATATCTTAACTTTAAGATTTTTATGGTGAACTCGAAAAAGAGCAATCGGCGGGCAGCGTTGTTAAGTGGCCACGAAAGCCAGCGCTCGACTACACCGCTCCGTGACTCTTGGCCGTGTTCGGAATATTCGTCGTGTTAAAATACAAAATAATAAATAGTAGTACGCCATCTGTTGGCATTTATAGTTAATTTTAAATGTTGTCTTTGTTCTTGTATTTTGAATGTGTTCCCTGTGAGAAGATAAATTAGTTTTTTGCAACCATCTTCCGCGTTTTATGAATACGTCGCGCCTCTCCTGATGTGCGCTGCACCTTAGGGTAGGAAAGTAGCGACATGGGTATCGCAAGCCACTCATAGGCAAGTACCCTTTGCAAAGGGGTTAATTTAATATTCAGAAATGTCATTGATTTCGAAAAGATTATAACTTGCCGTTTCCGCATTATTATATTGGTCTAGAGATTTCGACCTTAATGCAAAAATAATGTTCAAACCGCATTTCGAGGAAATGGATCCCATGAGTACGACCCAAAGCATTATAAAAATGTTTATAATATAAAATATCGTAATCATTACGAGAAACTCTGAAGTAGGCTGGTGTTTGTAATGTACATAATGCAAAAGTGTGATCAATCTTGTTGCGTGGCGTTTCGTATATACGCCTTTATTTATTTTATAACAAAAGTAGAGAAAAGTCCTTTCAAAACGGGGCCTTCTACGTCCATTAATCATATTAAATTTCATTCTCAGGGACATTGTGAATAAGCTCCAGTGAAGCTGAAGACGAAATTGTATAGACGATCCCATATTAGGGATTATAACAATCTAATATGACACAGCTTATATTAATAAAAAAAAATAACTTAAGAGCCCTAGCTCATAGAAATCAATTAACTTTCAGCTCTACAATCTAGGACTCACATAATTATAATAAATTATAGTGAAAATTATAAGATTATAATAAATAGTAGATTATTTTTAAAGATCTTAGCTTAGTATTATTAGACTTTTGTCAATCTCAGATCAGAGTTAATCCAAGTGGTTGATTGAATGGGACTTAAACAAAAGAGGTGTATCTGTATTTGAGTGGACAACTCTGTATCGATCTGCGATATCAATTACGTAATACAAAAATAGCCGATACGCGTCGCCCGCAATCTGAAGGTTAGCTTTTACAATACGCGGTTTATCTGATAAGGCCCCTGGGGGTAACTCAAGAAGGGATGCGAAAGCCTAACTTACAGCTTTGTAATAAAGAGTATTTTCGTTCAAACCGTAGCATCCAAGTATAAGGAGAATTCGGTTCCTAAGTTTAACTACTGTCTATCATATCGGTTGTTTCGCGCAGGTGTCATTACAGTTTAATAGAGTACCTATAGGTTGTAAGTGACGCGAGTCAATAATATCTGGGGGAGCGCAACAGCGCAAGTCTGGATGCATCTAGATTACTATGCGCGGTCTAGCTAGATTTATAAGCACATTACACGGGAGGCACGAATCAACAAAATGGCGGACCGTCCAGTCAAGATTCTCATGATCCTTTGTTTTGACAACAAGATACAATTATACTTATAGCGGAGATAAATGTATGAAAGTCGCCACCTATCTGATTCTGATGCGATTTTTATTAGGGCTTATATCTACTTTTACATATTTTTTTAAATTGCCCGTAGGTATATATATTATATTATTTTAAATTCCTAATATCAATGACGTTATATTCGATAACGTTATATTCTTAGTGCTCAGATATAAGAGCACCTTCTAAAATACAGAAATGAGCGATGGTAAGGTATCAGAGTAAACTATTGTTCTTATTAAGTATCGGGGAATCACGAAGAAATGTTTAACAAGCAAAGTAGGTAGCAAGTTGCAAATAATATAAAAAAGAACGGAAAACATATAATGAAAAGATAAATTAAGCCTAGATGCCAAGTTTTCTCAAAGAGGTAGCCTTTTTAATTTATAAAATTTAAGATCTTAAAATTATACTTCAAATCATCGTTGATATTGAATTGCTTTCAGAAAGGCAATCTTAACCCATTCACAAGCCACGGGGTAGCTCTTACCCGTTCTAAAAATAAACGAGGTGCGCGAAAACCTGTTGCGTCTTAGCTAGCGGCATCGTCTTGTTGACGTGGCATTTCATCGCGATTTCAGTGTGCTCACGAAATACTTTCAGGAGCGTTTTTAGTTATATTATTACAGCAAAGTAATATGTCACGCGTTTTTTGAAAAACATAAATCAAAAGAGAAATATTTGCAATAGAGGAGAAATGCTTAAATTTTCACATTGTAATAATAAAATTTACAAAGAAATTGCTAAAAAAAAAGTAATCATAATAAATAGTACAATCATAATAGTTGTTTGCAAATTCGTGAAGAGTTTTTAAGCAGTTAGGTAAGCTTGCAAGTGGAATAGAATAAGGCAGCACAGATTAAAACAATGCAAACTTACGTGCAATCTGACCAAACTCGCGATAATAATGATCAGCGCCACTGCAAGGTACATGCACTCTTTCTTGACAACTTTGTAATGTGAAAAGTCTAATTTTCGAAATGGACACAGGTAAGTGAATTCGCGTAGAAATTTTGTAAGGAGTACTCACCAATCTGTTAACAGCGGGCAAAATGAGCCCACAGCGTCGGTTTGGTCGATCGATGATGGGCGGGCATGCGCAGTGTTAACAAGGCGCTGTTTATTCTAGGTTTATTCGACACCTATACTGAACTTTGACATTCCTTTATCTATTTTTGTTTTGACATTTATCCTATCTATTAGATGTAAATTGACGGTCATGAGACTTCGCGCTTTTGCCTTGTGCAAAAGCGCGCGCTGTGTTGAGATATTATTGATAAGAGAAATTTAGATAAAGAATAGCTTTATTTTAACTATTCGATAACAGGACGATATTTGCAGCTTGCAGAATATCGTGTTTAGCACCAACTCAATGGAACTGGATTAGATTTCCGACGGGGTTATTGCAATGAAATTATGAAAACCTAGTATCATTGGTTTTTGTAATAAAAATTGAGAAACTCAGTTACGATTCTAGACGTAGCACAAATAAAAATCGTGTACTTTTTGAGGAATGATAAATACCTACTCTCTTATGGAAAGTTCATTTCACCTAAATTTTTAGATACAAATATAAAAAAAGTAATCGTCAAACCAATATTCAGTGGGTTATAAATTGCGTAATACTATTGTTATGGATAGATTACTCTATACTTACTCGATATGGAAAATAAAAATCAATTATAAACTTCACGTTGTACTTTTTGATGCCGTGTCTTTTGTACCAAATGGGACGCACGGTAATAGGGTGGTACCCTTGAATCTTTTCAAGGACAAGCTTTGAAGGTCACCCCGTCCCACCCTTTGTATGTAAGGGACGAATAAGCCTTTCATATAACCTGTTTTTTTAAAGAGATTCACACAACCAAAAAAAAAACAATAAGGGGGTATCTTTTTACTTGTTTTTTTTTTGTATAATCTTGAATAAAGTTATTTTACAAGTTACAAGTGATTCATTATTTTAATATTATTCTACGTTACACTTCCTAATTATGAAATTTTTTATTTGTTTCGTTAGAGGTGTTTCCTAAAAAATCGACGTGAAATAAAGAAATTTATGTAGTCTTACCCAGCAAACTTCGTACCGCAATAAAAATAGGGGTTGGTGGCAGAAGGGTGAAATTTTAAGGGAAAGTATAGGCCGATAAATAAATCAATAAATATAAATGTTTCCAACACTCACACCAATTAGCCTAGCCCCAAAGTAAGCACTGCAGGCTTGTGTTATGGGATACTAGGGTAATGGATAGAATACATAATACTGATTACATATATAAGTATCTTTATATAGAAATACATATTTAACATCCATGACTGGAGAACAAATGCTTGTGTTCATTACACTAACAGCTGCCCCCACCGGGATTCGAACCCGTGACCTCTCGAGTAAGCGACACCATGAAACCCGGCGTGGAAACCACTCAAAAATTCAGGGAGTTTGACTAGGAGGTGTTAATGTATCCGCCGTATAGTCCTGACCTTGTACCTGCAGATTTCCACCTGTTCCAAAAAACCACTTGTCTCAGTCTTTTGATCAGAAGCCCCAAAATTTTAATAGCAATGGGATCATGTCCCTACCTATAAAATTGCAATAAGTTATCGAATAAAATGGCACCTACATATTTTAGTTAAATGTAAATAAGCTTTAGTAAAAAATGTTTCGAATTTTCATATTTAAAATGCGAAGAAGCATTTTCCCCAAACTATGTAATACATCTACAAAATTACAACTCTCGAGTGCCAACAGTCTCCAAGCAAAACCTCGGATGGACAGACAGACGGACATGACGAAACTTTAGGGGTTCCTTGGCAGGACTACGGATCTCTAAAAACCAAATACAAATCCGCTTTCCATTATGACAAGACTCCTAGGTTTTGTTTCTTACTCGAAATAGAAGAGGGGTCGAACTACACGAGAATGCAGTGCTGTAAATCCTCAAAAATGAGGTAACTAAAAAATAGTGCAAACTAATAAAGTTACTACACCCTCATATAAAATGTTGATTTAAATTGTTTACAAATATCCTAAAACGGCGCAAATTGAATTACATACCTATTTTTCTGTTTAAATTAATGTAATAGGTAAGTACTGATATATAGTAACGCCGCGCCATTAGTATCTAATGTGTACATAATGAGTTTCTGTAATTGGCCTTATGATTGTTTATATATTTTATTGTATTACATCCACAAAAAAAAGCTTAGAAACTTTGTTAAAGATAAATAATTAATTATGGAATTATTAATCGTTTATAATAAAATTAATTAAATTAAAATTGTAATTTAAATCAATTTATAGCAATTAAAATTGCTAAGGCTGTAATTGACAGTTAATTGAAGACATTTTTCGAAAAAAACTAAAGAAAACACAAATTTTTGCGGATTTATAACCTAAAGCGTTGTCTGATTTACCTAGTAAAGTGTTTCAGGTAACTCAAAATTCACGGTGTATAAATAACGAAGGTTTAACATACTCACAATCAAATATATCTGTTTCTATGTTATTGAAAAAAACATGGTACTTAATTAGTTCGGAAACAATATTTTAACAAACGCCTCGTACGGTACCCCTTGTTAAGCACATTTTGAGTGAAACATTTCTATACTAGACGAAGAATAAGTAATATAAATATTACCTATTGTATCATAGCATCGACATGGAAACGTTTTAATGTAAAATTAGCAAGAATATCTAGATAGGTGCAGGCAGGCAAATCGTGTCATGACAAATTTTAGCAACAGATTGTGAATCGTATGCTTCTTCCATAACTGCGCTAGGAAGCTTTGATACTAAAATGCGATACCTTCAGCTGCACATACAAATTTATCGACTCCAACCTCTATTATACGTGTCAAAAATCGTCAATCAAGCTATCGTCTAGCGTCTTAAAACTCGCAGCTCCATAATTCATTACAATAGAGCTAATTCAAATTTCAATAGATATTTTTAGGGTATTTAGTACCAAATACATACACCCAAGCAATACAAAGCTGTGTGAGAACACCCAAGCACAAAGCAAGTGTGTGAGAAGCGTTATGAAAAGCTTTAGAAAACTCCAAATTTTACAGTTACGGGTGACCTATGGCTGTCTGTGCATATAATATTATACCTAATGTCTTAAAAAACATGAAACGACTATTTGGAAAGTGATTATAAAATAAATATAACACAACTTACTCAACTCAAACATTTAACTTTGAAGTTGTTTATAATTTTAATTTTACGACGTAAACTTGTAACAAGCACCATCTGGTTGCCAGCGATTGAACTTCAGAGCGAATGAAATGTAACAACGTTTGTAACCGGCTGGCTGCTACAGTGGTTGGTTAACTTTTAGATCTGCCAGTAGATGGAGCTACTAGTTTGATATTTTCACTAGATTTACATTACCCAAATAATTTTATTTAATATTTTTAAGCCTTTACCTGCTAGATGTTTAAATCTGAAGAAAAATGAACTAGAAAAAAATTGGATTCGAACCTGCATCTTTCGCTACCCGGGAGGATGTTCTAATAAGTTTATAGATAATTAAAGCGGATTTGCCGATCGAATTGGAGCACTACTTTGGGGAAATAACCTCCACCTTACAGAAGACTACAGTAAAATAACGTTACGTTTTTTTGGTGTTATGTTTCTGTCAGTGAGTAATGTTTCAGGGGATTAGATCAGGGTAAGGCAATGGCGCGAGTGATTTTCCTTGTATAGCAAGCGTCTGTAGGCTATGGTGGCCGCTAACTATCCGCTTACCACATAAAAGCAAAATGATTTACTATTATTTAAGTATCGCTTTGGTTTGTGGTGCTCTGTATTAATAGGTGTAACTGAGTAGTTCTTTTTTTTTAACACACACCAATTAGCCTAGCACTCAAGTAAGCACTGTAAGGCTTGTGTTATGGGATGCTAGAGTAACGGATAGAATACATATACTGTACATTTAAAAGTATATTTATATAGAAATACATATTACATAGCCACGACTGAAGTACAAATGCTCGTATTCATCACACAAACATCTGCCCCCACCGGGATTCGAATCCGGGACCTCTCGAGTCGGAGACACCATGAAACCCGGCGTACAAACCACTCGACCACGGAGGTCGTCATAGTCAGTAGTTCTTATTTTTTACTCATAAATTTCATCTAATTAATACCTACATGGTTATTAATTACATTCGATGTGCGGGTGATGCAACGGAAGCGCTCCTACTCTGCTTTCTGCTCCAAAAAGGTCGTAGGTAGGCTGTTACAAGCACTTGTGAAGACTGAGAAGCTACATCAGTTCGGTCGTCATTGGAAGTAATACTAGCAGGGGTATCAATCTGTGTAATGAGTGTGATAAATTTCTATTCGCATGGGGAGTTAAAGTCAGAGTTCGCCAGTACGTGCGGTTTTACTGGGTACGCCACTGGTTCTCACTGGGTCGGAACTGTGACCGTGTGTTCCGCCGCACTGGAACCCGGCAAAACCCTATCGTGAAACCAGTGACAGTAAATATCAGGTGCATTTTCCCACCATCAACAAAAAAAATGCTATTTTCCCGTTGGTATCCTTTGCCAGTAGCGTCCTCGTTCATTGTATTATTTTATTATAAATAACATTAAATAAATATTCCCAACACACACACCAATCAGCCTAGCCCCAAAGTAAGCACTATAAGGCTTGTGTTATGGGATACTAGGGTAACGGATAGGATACATATACTGTAAATATATATATTTATATAGAAATACATATTAAACATATATGACTGGAGTACAAATGCACGTATTCATCACACAAACATCTGCCCCCACCGAGATTCGAACCCCCTTCGGGACCTCTCGAGTCGGCGACACCATGAAACCCGGCGTACAAACCACTCGGCCACGGAGGTCGTCAAGTTAGGTTAGTTAGGTTATTACCTATTTTAGACCTCAACCCCACACGTCTTTATCGGTAGATAATAGCGAATGTGTTATTGCGATAATGCGCTCTTATTATGGAAACAGTGTGTAACTTTGCAGCCGTCTTAGTACATAATGTACTAAAAAAAAGTTATCGCGAAAACGC